ATTATTCCAGTTCACCTTTGACTTGTATGACTGGCTTTTAAAACTGATTTTAATAAAAATAGCTGTGTGCGTATGTACCTTCAAGTTGCCTGTCACTTCGCAGGGTTTTCTTAGGCAAGAAATACTCAGAAATGGTTTGGTCAGTTCCTTCCAATGAAATGAAGTCTATAGCATTTAGTATTCATTGGCAGCCTTCCATACAAGTACTAAGTAGGATTGACTCTGCTTAGCTTCCAAGATCAGATGGGATGTGGTGCTTTTAGGGTATTTAGGCCCTTCTATGTAGTTACTACAGCTATATAATGAAGAACAAAGGGGGAAGAGAGGTAGTAGTCCAAAAAATACCCATAAAACTTCAAATACTTATCAGGTATTAAACTAAAACATTTTACTTTGTTCAGGATTGAGGTTTTTAACATAGCAGTATGGACTTTATATGGTTAAGAATGTTTACCACTTTCATTTTTTGTTTTATTGTATTTTATTGTTAATGTGTCAACGATCTTTGTGGTGGGAGGACATTACTATTGGGTGTCTTCAAGTTATTTCTGACTTATGGCAACCATACCTTGACAAAGTGTGTCTTGGCAAGATTTGTTCAGAAGTCAATTTGCCTTTGCTGTCCCCTCTGAAGCTGAGAGAGTATGACTTGGTCAAGATCTCCCATTTAGTTTTCATGACAGAGTGGGGAGATTTGAACCCAGGTCTCCAGATTTTTAATTCAGTGTTCAAACCACTACATCACATTTGGCATGCTTCCCAGAGTGGAACACATCTCACCACGTTAAAACAGCGGATGTGGCTTAATGAGACATGCCGTATTATCACAGGATGTCTCTGCCCTACACCACTAGAGAAATTACACTGTTTAGCCAGTACTGCACCATCAGACATCCGCCGGGAAGTAGCAGTCAATAATGAAAGACCAAGGCAGTGACATCTCCAGCTCATCCCCTGTTCGAATATCAGCCAGCACGTCAATGCCTTAAATCAAGAAATAGCTTTCTAAGACCTACAGAGACACTTGCAGGAACACCTCAGCAAGCGAGAGTTCAAAACTGGCAGGCTAAAACCCAGAACCTCAATCCATGGTTGAGAGACTCCCTCTTCTCCTGGGCACACAAAAGACTGAGCAACTTGGAAAGTGCTGAAAAAACTGTGCTCTGGTACCACAAATTGAAGAGCCAACCTTAAGAAATGGGGCTACAAAGTGGAATCCACGGCATGAGAGGATGGAGAAGAACAAACCACAGACCACTTACTACAATGCAGTCTGAGCCCCGCCACATGCACAATGGGGGACCTTCTCACAGCCACACCAGAATGGCCAGCTACTGGTCAAAGGACATTTAGTATAATTCCAAGTTTTTAACTTTGTTTGTGTTTCTAAATATATTACAACTGTACCCTCAATTCGCTTCTGACACGATAAATAAATCACATTTGGCTCTATGATATAACATTACAGGTTTACAAAACATATTTTGAAAGCTCAGCATAGAACAAACCTCAGGTAATTCAGCCATGTGTCGAGTGATGTCAAGAGCCCCCACTTCAGGCATCAGAATACACATTTCTAAGTGACAATGAGCACTAATGTTATATAAGTCATAATAAAGGAATGAATAAGAGATAGAATGAGGTATCTCTTGTACCCAAGAAACCAAAAGAATGAAGGATATAATGAAAAGGGGAATTTTTTTTGTTGGCATATTCTCATCTCTGTGTTATTATTCCATCCTTAGATTTGTCCTTATTAAAGATTCAGGATCCCTTGTCCTCTATAGCAATCATCTATACTGGGTAAGTCATGACTCATAATCAAACTGGAACATAACCTTGGCAATGAGAAGTCAAATATTTGTGGCTTTGATATTGTACTCCATCAGTGCATCTGAAAAAGCACTTGCTAAAATAAATCAGTTAGCCTTAATGGTGCTGTTAAGACTCCTCAATGCTGGCAAGCAAGAGTGTTGCGCGCACACACAGCTTTATTTTCTTTTTTTATATTGTTTCCAAAATGAAAGAATAATATAATATAATATAATATAATATAATATAATATAATATAATATATAATATAATATAATATAATATGAAACGGGACAACAGGAACTGACAAGAAGAAAGAATGTGAAGGATAAATATTAGAAGTACATCCTGAAATGCTCTTTGGGATCGTAGATGGGCTGCTCTGGGTTTTAAAAGATTGAATAGTATTGCATTCGATCAGCCTAGCTGAATAAATATCATATAAAGCATATTTTAACTGCAGGACATTGCTGAAGGATCCACCTAAAATGACAGGAAAAGATAAGAGCATCGTCTTCAGGGGAAAAAGAAAAGCAGAGATCATGCCAGCAGAGAAATAACTCGTTTGATGCTCTTGTAATTGAGATTATTTACTTAAAGACCACTTAAAATGGGATTAAGTTAAGCCTTACTCTTTAACACCACATCCACTTCATAATCAAACAAGCAACCGAACAGCAGGACGCCAAGTCTAAGAAATGTGTCATGTGGAGATTTTGCACCTTTTCCATGGTCAGGAAAGAGAAATGATTTACTATAGAATATTATTTCTCCAAAGCTTAAACAGGTGACTCAGATAACAGGTGCTAAATCCTGAAGCCTGCGGTCCAACTCAAATTAGACTCTGGAATAACAGGGGAAGTTGATACAGATGTATGTGTGTGCACATTTATTGGATCTATCTATATATGATGAAGAAGGCAGATCTTATTTGCTGTTAAGACGTAAATTCAAAGGAACTTACTTCCAATAAAGAGTTGTCATTCTACATTGTAGAATTAATGCAGTTTTACATCAGTTTAATTGCAACAGCTCAATACTATAGAATCCTGGGTGCTGTAGTTTGGAGAGGCCCCAGCACTCCATGGCAGAGAAGGATAAAGTCTTTGTAAAACTATAACTCCCAGGATTCCACAGCATTGAACCATGGCAGTGAAAGTTGTGTCAAACTCCAGGGTCTACAAAACACATTTCTATAGCATACTCTGAGCTCAAGAGGACTCACTTCCTTCAGATGAACTTAGTCCTTCAGACTTGATTACTAATTTAAATCCCAATACTATTAACCAGGCAGGAAATGCTACAGTTTACAGATATGAGAATTGAAAGTAGAAGAGAAATGATACAGAGGTTCGAGAAAGTGCTATCTATGGGGTGTACATGTACCATCTGAACATGAACACTCCCGTTCTTCTGCCACTCAAGTACATGGTGGCTAGAGGTGAAAGAGGGCACCTTTCCTTGTCCCCAAGCTACCTTGGGAATGTGCACTTGCCAGTTAAGCCACAGCCTAGCATTTCGACTACGGTAGATGTCATTTGGCGTAGTTTTGCAGGGGATCCAACACAAAGCAGAATGGCTGATATTTCTCCCTCTATGCTACAAAATCGATCAAAGCACAGGAGTCCGTTTTCTCTTGCCAGTAGTTATCCCAGTTTGTCCATGGGAAGAAGAGCTGGAAAGATTATTGTGGCACTGAGAATGGGAAAGGCTGGGTGGTGGCATCAAGTGAGGGGTCTTCAAAGTGAGATGAAGAACCCCACCCCCAAATTTTCTGACAGACACACAGATAAACAAACGTTCACACATATAGAATCATAGAATTGGAAGAAAACCACAAGGCCAATCAGTCCAACCCTATTCTGCTATATTGGAAAAGCACAATCAAAGCACTCCTGACAGATGGCCATCCAACTTCCAGAGAAGGAGACCTAACCACACTCTGAGGAGGCAGCACATTCCACTGCTGGACAGCTTGTACCATCATGAGAGGCCTTTCCTAAAGTTTAGGTGGAATCGTTTTCCCTGGAATTTAAATCCATTGCCCCATTGTGCCTTATTCTCTAGAGCAGCCAAAAGCAAGTCTGTCCCCTCTTCAATGTGACATCCATGTGTCCCCTCTCAGGCTTCTTTTCACCAAGCTAAACATATCCAGCCCTACGTATATCTCCACAGGTTAGGTATCTCTTGTCCAGAAACCCAAAACACTTCAGCAACAGCACAACAACAGAGAGGAAGCAGGCAGGGACATCTAATTACCTCTCAACAAAAGTTTGCTCCAGGCACAGTCAGCCCATTGTATGCTAATCAAGGTGGTCAGTTGAAACATTCACACCTAGCTCCAGCAGACAAGAGTCCTTTGTCCCACCCTGGTCATTCCACAGATATATAAACCCCTTTTTCCTAGTTCCAACAGACCTCACTACCTCTGAGGATGCTTGCCATAGATGCAGGCGAAACGTCAGGAGAGAATGCCTCTAGACCATGGCCATAGAGCCCCAAAAACCTACAACAACCCTATGTTGAATACTGTTTTAATATTTGTATATTATAAAGTTTATTAGAATACTTTAAATGTTAGCCACTTTGAGTCTCCTTATGGAGAGAAAAAGTGAAACAAACATTACTTCAGATTTGGCCCCTATCTCCAAGATATCTCCACATCTAGGTTGAGTATCATTTATTCAAAAATCCCAAATATTCCCAAAACTGAGAGGCTGAGACAGCGGCACCTTTGCTTCCTGGTGGCACACACTCCACACAGGTGCATAAAATCCCCATCAAACTGGATTATATGGCAGTGTGGACTCAGATAGCCCAGTTCAAAGCAAATATTGTGGATTCTCTGCCTCAATATTTTGGGGCCCCTTCCACACAAAAGAATAATATCCCACATTATTTGCTTTGAACTGGCGTACATGGCAGTGCGGATTGAGGGCCCTTCCACACAGCCATATAACCCAGAATATCAAGGTAGAAAATCCCACAATATGTGCTTTGAACTGAGTTATCTGAGTCCACACTGCCATATATTCCAGTTCAAAGCAGATCATGTGGGACTGTATTCAGCTATGTGGAAGGGGCCCCTATTCAAAGCAGATATTGTGGATTTCCTGCCTTGATATTCTGAGATATAGGGCTGTGTGGAAGGGCCTTTAGATAAGTAGAGAGAGGGAGGGAGGGCTCACCAGATACTCAGGATACTCAAACATGTAGGTCATGCCGCACCGGTTCTCCTCGTACTGGAAAAGCACGTCCCGGGCTCCCAGCAAGACGAGGGCCATCAGAGCCCCGTAAAACACGGGCAGGGCCATGGCGGAGCCCCCCGCCGCCCTCCTCTCCCCGTCCATGGCCCGCGGAGACGCCTCTCTCTCTCTCAATCTCTCTCTCTCTCAGCGAGGGAGGAGCGGAGCCGCTTCGAAACTTGAAGGGAGAGGCAGGAAGGCGGGAAAGGGCGCCATCTTGGAGAGGTCGGAAGCCGGCGTCCGCGCGTCGCCGCCATGTTGGTTTGCCTTTCCACCAAAGGGGAGGAGCCGGTCGCCATCTTGGAAGCCCGACAGAGCCCGAGTGAGGCTGCCTGCTCTTAAAGGAGACGCGCGCTCCGTCTGCGCCGCCATATTGGGAAGGTCTGGGATTGGGATGCCATCAAGGACCCCTTCCATACAGCCAGGCATGTAGCCGGGGGGGGGGGGGCTGGGGGGGCTTCAGCCCCCCCCCCCCCCGAAATTCTCATGGTGGTTCGCGAAAAGGCCTTACTGGTGCATTATTTAAACTGTTATGTTTATTCATATCATGATCTGATCACCATACTCAATATATCCCATATGCATGGGGGTATTGGGGTAATGATACAAAAGGTTTGCTAGGCTAGACCCTCTTTCACTCAGACTCAGCCCCCCCCCCCGAAACTCAGCCCCCCCCGAAACCCCCCCTGAAAATTTTTTAGCCCCCCCCCCCCCCGAAACGAAATCCTGGCTACGGGCCTGCATACAGCTGAATAAAATCCCAGATCTGCTTTGATTTGGAATATATGGCAGTGTGGACTCAGATAACCCAGATCAAAGCAGATATTGTGGGATTTTCTGCCTTGATATTCTGAGTTATATGGCTGTGTGGAAGGTGACCCTTCCACACAGCTGAAGAAAATCCTACATTATCTGCTTTGAACTAGGATATATGGTAGTGTGGACTCAGATAACCCAGATCAAAGCAGATATTGTGGGATTTTCTGTCTTGATATTCTGAGTTATATGGCTGTGTGGAAGGTCCTATGGCCTCTTCCACACAGCTGAATAAAACCCTACATTATCTGCTTTGAACTGGGATATATGGCAGTGTGGACTCAGATAACCCAGATTAAAGCAGATATTGTGGGATTTTCCGTCTTGACATTCTGAGTTATATGACTGTGTGGAAGATCCTATGGCCCCCTTCCACACAACTGAATAAAATCCTACATTATCTGCTTTCAACTGGGATATATGGTAGTGTGGACTCAGATAACCCAGTTCAAAGCAGATATTGTGGGATTTTCTGATGTGATATTCAGGGTTATATGGCTGTGTGGAAGGGCAATGTGTAGAAGGAGCCAGGGAAAGCCAAACAGGTTGTGGAAATACAGCTGCCAGAATCTCTAACATTAAGCCATGGCAGTCCAAAGGAGTATCCAAACTGTATTGATTCTGCTGTGTAGGCATACCCTCAAGCCCCTTCTACACTACAATATAAAATCCAGATTATCTGCTTTGAACTGTAATATATAGGAGTGTAGACTCATACAACCCAGTACAAAGCAGATAATGTCAATTATCTACTTTGATAATCTGGATTTTATGGCAGTATAGAAGGCACCTCAGATGTAATTGGGTTTGAAACCTAAAGCACCTTGTTTGTTATTCCAGCCCTGTTTGCAAAGTATATTATTATTTCTCCTTTGTAGACATGASCTTCATTRTTAAAACACATTCTGCCAACTTTTTTCTCTCAGACTGGATCTGCACTGCCTTGTATCCCAGGATCTGATCCCARAGTATCTGCTTTGAACTGGAATATATGGCAGTGTGGACTCGGGGCCCTTCCACATAGCCATATAAACCAGTATATCAAGGCAGATAATCCACAATATCAGCTTTGAATGCAATTTTCCTGCTTCTTGGCAGGGGGTTGGATTGGATGGCCCATGAGGTTGCTTCCTACTCTATGATTCTATGAATATCTGAGTCCACACCGCCATATAATCCAGTTCAATGAGGATTTTACTAGCTGTCCCCTGTCACACGTTGCTGTGGCCCAGTCTGTGTATATGTGTTTTGTGTGTGTATATATGCATATACGTATGTGTGTTATATCTTTGTGTATGTATGTGGTTTTGTGCATGCGTTGTGATGCATTTTTTTTTGTTTTTTGGCTTTTAAGTCTCTTCTGCTGTGTTTTTCAGTATTTTTATGAGTTATGGTCACTTGTTGGCCTGATAGGTGTCTTGTGTCCAAATTTGGTGTCATTTCGTCCAGTGGTTTTTTAGTTATGTTAATCCCACAAACAAACATTATATTTTTATTTATATAGATGTGGTTTTGCACATGTGCTGTAGTGTCTTTTGGCTTTTTTAGTCTCTTCTGCTGTGTTTTTCAGTGTTTTTATGAGTGATGGCCACTCGTTGGCCTGATTGACGTATTGTGTCCAAAAGTGGTGTCATTTCATCCAGTGGTTTTTTAGTTATGTTAATCCCACAAACGAACATTACATTTTTATTTATATAGATGTAGAAAGGAACTGAATCTCTAGTGCCAGATAATTTGGCATCAGTTCCTGGGATATAGCATGGTCTAGATCCAGTCTCTGTTTCTAGGGGCCCTTCCACACAGCCCTATATCCCAGAATATCAAGGCAGGAAATCCCAAATTATCTGAGTGTGAACTCAGATAACCCAGATCAAAACGCATATTGTGTGGTTTTCTGTCTTGATATTCTGGGATATAGGGCTGTGCGGAAGGGCCCTGGGGTGCAACAAGATCTCTTTGCTTCCTGATTCCAGACTAACAAAGGTTTGCTTTTAAATTTTAAGCAGAAGCGACTATTTCATTTTTAAAATAAACAGTCCATTTAAAATAGTTACAAAAATAGGAAGAAAAATCTGAAAAAGGGTCTCCTTTCCCACTGTGGTTTAAAAGGCTACCCTACACTTTCATTTAAAGAGTTCACATACTTTGATCTGGAGAAATGGGGATATTTATGCAGGACTTTAAAGATGTGTCAGCCTCCGCTGTCAAACCTTGCCATAGAAAGCAAGTAAGGGACATAAAACCTTTCTGCAAACAGCCAAATGAAGCCCCAGCTATAAAACCCTGAAATCCATGTGCATATAAATAAAATCCAGAAGCAAAGCTGGAAACAAAGGGTAAAGATAAGCCTTGAGGAAACTTAATGCTTGCTGACAAATGACCCTAGATAAAATTGCAGCTTGGCAGTGACACCTGTCGGCATGTAGGGCAGTTAGATGCCACAGATACTCCGCTCAAACTGGAGAAGTGTAAGATTACATGTGTTTATGGTTCATAAATAGGCTTCTCCTCCCATAAAGCTGACAGATACAGCCGATTAGAACCATAACATCCTTTTAATATGTAGGTTCAGATGCATCCCAAATAAGAAATAGGTAAGGGAGACAACTGCAAGAAAGGCTTTGAAATGTATGCTAAAGTAAGGAGAGATTGGAAAGCAGCTGAATTGGACCAGATCCCTGTATCTGGAGGGGCTTTTTCCCAAAAGAAGTAAAACAAAAAAACAAGTAGGGATATGATTCAAAGTTTTATTAACAGATTAAAAATTAATAGATCACCTGGTCAAGACAATCACCACCAAAGTGTTATTGAATAATCTCAGATGCAAAGCTATTGGTCTTTTAGTTACAGGGCTTCTTAAACTTTTTCCACTCACAACCCTTTCGGCCTGATAATTTTTTACGTGACCCCAGGTATATAAAATAGATATAAAAATCAAATATCTACAAATAAGAAAAGAGCATTTGCAAGACTTGTTAAACAGGCCAATGTTCCTTTTTGTGAACTGTGGCTGAAGCACCTTTTACAGAGCCCACTGTAAACACTGCATGTTGTTGCTAACAGATTTGTAAAAATGGGTAGCATTCAAAAAACTTCGGTGTGGCTAGATTTTTTATGACTCCAATATTGATCTCAGGGGGGCTGATTTGGGATCAGGACCCAGAGTTTAAAAAGCAGTGGTCTAATAAAGATGTCTAGATTTTCCTTGGAGTTAGTTTCTGTGCCAGAGAAATTGGAAAAAAAAAATAGCTCAGTATTTGATAATTCCTCATCATTGCGTATGCTGTCAAAATTTGCTGGGGCTTGTAGTCCAAAACCATCTGGACTGGAGGCTGCATGATAATCCCATTAGTGATGTTTATGCATACTGAATCCACTTTCGTCTTTAAGGATGACAAGCCCAATCACCCAAAACAACTGAGGTCCCTTCTACTTTTACATATAGAATCCAGATTATCTGCTTTGAACTGGATCATATGGCAGTGTAGACTCAGATAATCCAGTTCAAAGCAGATAATATGGATTATCTGCTTTGGTAATCTAGTTTATATGGCAGTGTAGAAGGGGCCAGAGGAGACCGAAGACTTGTGTAATGGCACATAATAATAATAATAATAATAATAATAATAATAATAATAATAATACTTTATTTATACCCCACCACTATCTCCCCGGGACAGAAGACTTTTGTGTGATAGCACATAATAATAATAATAATAATAATAATAATAATAATAATAATAATAATAATAATAACTAGCTGTGCCCTGCCACGCGTTGCTGTGGCCTATAGTAAAACTTATCAAAGTAGAGGTAGATATCTGGACTATTATGAAAGAGAGGTACCTACCTATTCCTTCCCCCTTTTCCTCCCCTTTCTCTCCTTTCTTCCTTCTCTACCTCTTTCTTTCTTTCACTACTTGGTTTCATCCTTCTCTCTTTCCTTCATTCCCTCCCCCTTTCTTCCTTTGCCTTTCTTCCCTCCCTGTTTGCTTCCTTCTTTCACTTTTTATTTCCTTTTATTTTACCACCATCATAACAATAACAATAATGCAATGCATTGCCTCTGGGACCTGACACCTCTCCCATTCCCCCAGGGTCTCATAGGAACAATAGCATAATAATAATAATAATAATAATAATAATAATAATAATAATAATAATAATAGAAATAACAACCTTTACCCGCCACGTGTTGCTGTGGCCAATCTTCCCTCTTTCTCTCCTTCTTTCCCTCCTTCCTTCCTTCCTTCCCTCCCATCTTTCCTTCTCCTCTTCTTTCTCTATCTCTTTCCTTCCTTCCCCCTTTTTCTTTCTTTTCTGCTGTCTCTCTTTTCTTTCCTTCCATCTTTCCTTTTCTTTCCTTTTCTTCTTCCTTCTTTCTCTAACTTTCCTTCCTTCCCCCTTTTTCTTTACCTCCCTTTCTCTTTCTTCCTTCT